GGCAGTGAAGCACAAGCCCGACAACCCTGGCCTTCAGTAAAAAGCCTGCATTAATATTCCACAGTCCTAACAGGGAACCAAGGAATGGTGCCTGTCCCAGCAGCCCCATCACATCCCAGGCCTCCCCAGGAACCTACCTGTGATAGCTCGGCGGATCTCCCTAGCTGCATCTTCTCTGGATTCAATGGAAGCCTGCTCACTGTACCATGCAGCATGAGGAGTGCAGATCACGTTGGGAGCATCCTTTAGGGGCCCCTGGGCAAAGCTGGGGAAGGGAGTGGGGGGGGGGACGGACAAAAGACCAAACACGTTGTTTCTCCCCCAGATGGAATCCCAATCTGTCTTCCCAGCATAACCATAACATGACCAAGATCAGAGAATCACCCAGTACAGAAGAGCGACAGGACAGGAGCAGACATTACCTGAAGGGCTCAGATTCATGCACATCCAGTGCTGTCCCTCTGATTCTCCCTTCCTTCAAGGCTTGTGCCAAGGCCTTTTCATCTACAAGGCCCCCACGTGCTGTATTCACCAGGAAGCAGCCCTGGCGCATCTGGGGAGGGGAAAATAAAAAGAGGGGTGGGGGGTGGGGAGTGAAAATGTCCTTTTCCTCAGTCAGCATTAATTTGGGGGAGATGGCTGGAAACAAGCAGGATCCTGCAGAGACTGGGAAGGACCAGGGCACACAAAGCGGGCCTGGAGAACTCAGTGCAAACGCTGAAGGCACAGAAAGGCAGAAGAGCTCACAGGTTTCCTGCCCTAGAGTGCCCCACTATTTTTGTTTTAGCAGACCACTCTAATCAGTTACTCGAGGAAACAAGCGAAGAGGCCAGCTGCGCAAACCAGACAGCTGTAAGAAAGCATGGAAAAGCATTAGCAGCGGGGCGGGGGGAGCCAGAGACTGCTATAGCAGAGAGTACTCAGCCCCGAGAGCAAGGCACACTCACAGAACTGTACTACTGGCCTGCACTACTCCTGCCTCTAATCAGCATCCCTTACACATCTGAAACGTAACTACAAACTTCTCATTCATCTTGAACGGTAGCCACCTAAAACAGTTGTTTCATATGTGAAATTACAAAGCAAAGAGTCCGTGCCAAGTTCTCTCCTGAAACAAGCACAGATCCATCCACCTGCTCCCAGCCACCGCAGGCAACAGGAGCCATACAGCAGAGCCAGCAAGATTCACAAGCTCCCAGCCTCTGTGAAAGCAGCAGTCTATGTTCTTATTCATTTCCAGGGTGTTTGGAGCAGGGGTTAGGGAGGCAAAAGGAGGAAGACCAAGTTTCTGCTGCACCTGTTTAATAGTGAAGTCGTTGATGAGGTGATGGTTATGTTCATTCAGGCTGCAGTGCAATGAAATGCAATCGCTGTGCATTAGGAGATCCTGCAGAGTCCCTACTCGCTGCAGCCCGAGGGACCGTTCCACTCCATCCGGCAGGTACGGGTCGTAGAAAATCACATTGAAACCAAAGGTTTTAGCTCGCAGGGCCACAGCCTGTCCAACACGGCCTTCACAGGAGAAAACACTCATGTCAAATGAATGCAACAACCCACAGCACAGCCAGGGGTCTAGGCGGGGACTGCTCCTGGATACTCTTGGAACCCCATCCCTTCTCCCCACTCCTCCCCACAGAAGCCCATGAAGGAGCAGATGATCATACTGGAGTTCTGTGCTGTTCCCTTGATGTGAACTAACCCTTCCATGCACTGTAGCCAACAGTGCTCAACCCCAAGGGGAGCTCTCTATGCTTAGCCCACACTCAGTCTGCACTCTAAACATATGCACTTCAGGCTAATTAGAAAAGAGATGGCCTGGAAGCAAGGTCTTCTAGCAAGACCTGGTATCGCAGCAACATGAAGTTCTCCCAACAAGGCCAGCACATGCAGAGGCTGCCAAAGAGGGCTGTTTGAAAATGTCAGCTTTTCCAATAATTTGTATAAGAAAGGCAGAGACTCACAGGCTGCACTACACGTTTGGCTTCTGAGAGTAGCAAGATTACATATTAAATCACCAGAATTACAAACTTAGAAATCCAGCATGTCCAGAAGCTACCAGCAGTGTCCCCAGGGACACTCAGTTTCCTTCTCGGTCCAAGTTACCATTTCTTACCCAGGCCAATGATGCCTAGTGTCTCCCCACGGATACGCACGGCACCTCCAGCCACCTCTCGGATCTGCTCAATGCTTGAAGCCCGATTTCCTTCCCGCATAGCCTGATGGAGCCAAGTCACCCGGCGATACAAGTTCAAGATATGACAGAGGGTAGAGTCTGCGGTCTCCTCTACAGAGGAGGAAGGGACGTTGCAAACTGCGATGCCTGCAATAAGAAGGAACTCACATGAGATCCCTAGTACCCCATACAGCATTATGGCAGCAAACTCCCCTTCTAGAGCATGATGGCTGGAAGGCAAGTCCACGCTCCACAGCCACAGTCACTAAGGTGCCAGCCTCGTTACCCAAGTTTCAGGATCCTCCAGGAAAAGTTCCTAAGCTTCTTTGCTTCTCAAACCATTAGGCTGGCGCCCCCACCACAGAAAAATGACAAAACCAGAGAAGTTTGCTTGTTATACCATTTGTGCAGCCAAAGTATGCAGAGGGCAGCACCTGGCCAAGAGAGACTCCAGGGCATTCCTAAGGGGCTGCCCAGCAAATCATGGGAGCAGAATTACAAATGTGGCTGTCTCCATGCTTTCTGTACCAGATGCTCAAAGCCAGATTGCAAGCACGGGTTTCCCAGTCACACTGCTGCTGCTGCTGAGCCACAACACGTACAAACTAGAAACCACAGGATTCCCTCTCAAAGTCCATTTGCTGTTTAAAAAACCCAGTCATTACAATTACCACTATGGAGGCACTGTGCAGCCACATGGACTCTCTCAGATACCCTGGGCAAGAATGACAAGGCAAACCATAATGCTAACGAAGGCAAGCACTGAAAGATACCTTGCCAGCAGGAAGCAATCAGTGTCAGAGCCCTGTATGAGCCACGTCATGGAAGGAAGGAAAGAAAACACCTTAGAATGACCTCGAGTTCTCTCTAATTTCCCCCTGCATTGAGAAGAGTCTCTGGACCGCATAGAGGGCCAGGATATCCAGAGAAATGTTTCAGCATATACAATCTTAGATAGCCAAAAATCAGGTTCAAATAGGGCAAAGCAGATCTTCTGCCTAAACCTTAGCCCTAGAATCACAAAACGTCTTTGGGAAAAGAGGTTTTACTGGAGCCTGAGGCCCCAGTGCATCTTGTCAAGCCGAGAGAGACTTAACAAGGTACATCTATCCTATTCAAGCAGCGCCATTCTGAGATAGGCTGCACCTGCTCGTGCCAGGACAAAAGCAGGGTACCTGTGGTAGTGCAGTAAGCACAGGGCTGCACTACCACACCCACACCACAGCTGGCTTAGGAGGCAACAGGCATAGAGCAGCAAGGCAAGTGTCCATATAACACTGCCTGGCACTCAATGGAGCAGTTCAAACGTGTCAGCACAAAAACAGCCAAGCCTCAACACTCACATCAGAACCATGATATAAATCCAGGTGGAAATTGAAAGCACAGATGATTCAGCATTGCAAACACCTCTTGGCAAAGCATACAGATAGATTTCCCCTTCCCCAAATCTTTGGCAGCTAAGAAAGAATAAAGACATCAAGGACTACATACAGCCGCTGCCATCAAGACCCTGAAAATGTTCATCCGCAATTTAGTTGAATGCAAAACCCCCCTGGAAGTTACATAATGATTCCTAAGCAACCGAAATCGATTTGCAAGGCAACATCAGGCTATTTGCTTCCAGCACAGTAAATATCTAACTGGACCTTAAACAGGTTCAGGACCTCCTCGTCAAGAAGACAGGGAAGCAGTTTATGGAAAGGTAAGTTAGCAGCTGCATCCAGGATTTGGGAACCTTTGTGACCAAGAACCTAGCCTTCTTCTTAGGCCAGCTGCCATAAAATCTTTGCGCTCGAACTTTCTGTCTCCTTCCAAATGAGGCCTGACCTTATTTGGGTATGTCCAATGAGTCTGGTCATTCCAAAGCACAAAGGGAAAGTGAATGTGAATGTCCCTTCATAGTCACTTATGTTCCCAGAAGAGACGCACAGAGCTCATCGTACCTAATTCTGCAGCTGACTTAATGTCCACATTGTCATAGCCACTGCCAATGCGCACAATGACACGGAGAGCTTTGAACTTCTCCAGGTCCTGGCGGGATAGGGTGATGGTGTGATACATGAGAGCCCCCACAGCCTCATTCAGCACCTGCAGACAGAAAACACCACCCTCAGAGTCATTCCATGTTTCAGCTGCTCATGGAGGCAGCCTGTTCCATCCCCACGTGGACTCACTTGGTCTTCCTACCTTTTCATGGATTTCCTGAGTTGACTGAGCATCACAGAAGGCCACTGTAGCAACATCCTTTAGGATGGGCATCTCAACAGTACAATCTCTCCCATCCAAGAGCGCAACCAGTGGTCGGGCTGGCATCGGTCCATTCACAATGGGAGGCCGTATGCCTACGGAAAAAGGAAGTTAGGACCGACTGTGCACAGGAAGGAACAAAATGAACTCCAGAGCCCAGGGCTAACATGAGAAGCAGGCAGCACCCTCGTTAGCACTGACTGAACGGGACATGAGAGGAACTCTCTCCTGTAGCAGGGGACGGCAGCCTGCAGCCCAGAGATTAGATCCAACCTGCAGCAGTCACCTGCAGCCACTGGGGCCTCCGGAGGCTTGTGAGGGTCACGCCCCTGTGGCCCCAGTTCCCTCCTGGGCCTCATAGCTTGCTCCCTGTGCCTCGCCCACTGGAGAGCTGCTGTGGGGGAAGGGGAAAAATCATCCCGCGACAGGAAACGGGCAGCCTGCCATTGTTGGAAGGTTGTTGGTCCCAGTCCTATAGTAAGCAACCTAGTCAAAGGCACGAAAGCATCGATGAGCACAAAAAGAATTTGGAAAACGGAAGTGACGGCAGATCTGTCCAAGCCTCTTCAGGGAGCAGGGCTCAGAGCAGTGCGTGAACACGGCTGAGGAGAGCAGCACCGCGCACACGCAAGAATCAGAAGAGCCAAACGCTGCTGCAAACTCCCTTTCCAGAAAACTTCCCTCCGTGACACGGGTGGAGGCACTGAGAGAGTAGACAGTTACGCAGCGAAGAAAGATGTACGTCAGACTCGGCTACAACACGGGAACCGTTTCATCCACCTGCTGCCAACTTGTTGCATGCAAACCAAAGCCGCGATAACCTACTTTCTGGTTCATTCAAATGTAAAACTAACGATTTTTAGTTCCACTTATTTGGAAACCAGAGCAGACAAGTGGAGCTGCTGCACGGGACCAGGTGGCGTGCGCCCGTGCCCTGCCCGGCCTGGCCCACCCTTCTCAAACGCCGCCGCGCTGCCGGCACCTCGCGGGGGCTCCTGCGGGTCCGGCGCTGGAGAAGCGAGGGAGGCCAAACACCGCGCTGGTGTCGGGACCTGCCCCGCGCTCTCCCCTCCGAGAAGACTCCCGCCTCGGGCCTGCCCC